AAGTATTACTTCTCCCTATACTGTGTAATTCTGGTGAATAAAGTAAGTCTCATAGTCAAGTCTTTGTTCCACATTACGATAAAAAAAAACTTAGAAGACTGTTTTCTATAATTAACGTACTGACAGGACAATTTGGCCAGATGAGGTTTCTTTGTGGATAGAGCAAATGCGGGAATTTCACAGACAATACCCAAGGACGGGATCGCAGTATGTCTGAGTTTGCTAAATCAAAGCTCTTTAGAGATTAACGAGAACAAAATTGTCCTGAACTCACACTGCCAGCCAATAACAGGAACCGCAGGGCTTCTCTGCTTTGACCCCTAAAGGCTATTAATACTTTGTATATTCTTTGATTTTAGTTTATTGATACAAGACTTTAGGCTCAGTATACTGTTTCTGTCTTAGTCCTGAGATTTGTGTGATTAATAGGAAGAGGCTATTAACCTGCCAAACTAACCATGTCCGGAGAGAGATAGCTTTCTCACTCGTCCACCATGACAAATGGAACCCGCAAGTGGTCAGAACGGCAGGAAGGTGGCCCATTCCCTACTTTGAACAAAATATTTAGTACATCTCCTCTTTGTTCTGAAACCACACTTAGGATAGAAGATATATTTTTAGATCTGAAATGCCTTTCTTTGCCAGTTAACGTTTGGCGAACATGCTGATACGAATCAGCACTGTATATTTCATCTACCTTTTAGGCGGGTTGCCATGGTTACTCAGCGACCACCCCCACCCCCGCCTGCCGAGCGCGGCTGCACTCTCTAGGCTTGAGAAAATGGCATTTCCTTACGTTTTGCCTTTTTGTGTTTTATTGATCACAAAACTACTAGTTTATAAATTTCGCTACACTTAAGAAATGTAGAATAATGGATGAATTCTTGGCTTCCTCCTTAGATTTCTCTTTTGAAACTTTACAGACCTAAGGCAGCCAGCCATAAAACAAGCTGACAAGTTATTGCTGTATGTGTTTCTTACCTATCTACAAAAACTACTTTGTGACCCTGAGAAATAGCCCTGTAAGTTTTCTGTTGCCAAAGAATTGCTGGAGTATGCGTACATAAACTGTAGATATTTGAAACTAGAGGAAGAAAATAAAGAGCATGTGTGTGACTTTATTCTTCCCACCAGGAAGAAAAACCTTTAAGTTCAGTTTTACTACGCTGTAGAGATTCTCTTCGAACGCTGGGTGTAGCCTTGAGAGCTGGTCTCTGAGGCTACTATAACGAATAATGTGGAATGAACAATGTTCAACCTTGTGATCCAATGTCATTTATTTTTTAGGGGTGTTTTGTCTGCATGTATGTCTGTGCACCATGTGTGTTCCTAGTGCTAGCAGATCCAGAAGAGGACCATGGAGTGCGGTTACAGATTGAGCATTCATGTGAGGATGCTGGAAATTCAAGTGAGTCTTTGGAAAGAGCAGACAGTGCTGAGTCATCTCTAAAGTCAAGTGGACCACTAGGTTTTATGGGGAGACTTACAAAAGCACAAAGGACTATATTATGGCTGCATCCTGATGGCTACTTAAACTAGAAAACTGGGCATCACTGCACAGCTTGCAGGCAGCTCAAGGGAGGTAGGAAGTGTGTCTTTCCAGCCACTCACTACCTCCTCCAGGCAGCTCGTCTTGCCTGGTCCAAGCAACTTGACTGGTATCTTCTTCATGGCTGGTCTGAGCATCTTCTGTGCAGCTCAGCTTGTTTGAGTGTGTCAGCAGTCCTTACTGGCTATACATGCTTGAGGCAGGAGAGCACTAGTGAATCTTGCCAATCTCTGTGACTTCCTGAAGCTACTGTCTACTTCTGCTTTTCAGGACCTTCCTTGTAGGATTGAACATATCACTTTCCATAGAGCGTCCCAGTCCTTTACCTCTCTTTTAATATCCTGTTTTAAAGAGTTTTCTCCAAGATGGAGGGGTTTAATCTCAGAGGAAACTGATACACAATAACCACTCCTAGAATGAACTCCAAGAACTCACCATCATACCAGTGAGTGTGTGCCTGTAGTGACACTTTTTTATGATCTAACAAATAAAGCTTGACTGAGGATCGGAAGTGCAAAATTAGCCACACTAGTTAGCCAAAGAGGCCAGGCAGTGGTGGCACACATCTTTAATCCCAGCACTGGGAAGAAAGAAGCAGATGGATTTCTGTTAGTTCAAGGTCACCCTAGGCTACACAAAATTGATTCAATCTAAAAGAAAAACAGAGCTCACACAGGACTTGGGATCACATACCTTTAATCCCAGCGCTAAGAAGTTAGAGACAAGAGTGGTGTGGCTGGGCAGAGAGAGGAATATAAGGAGGGAGGAGAAAGGAGCTCAGTGTAGTCTGAGGCAGCAGTCTGAGGAGAGGACTGTTCTGAGCATTGGTAGTTAGGAATTCTCATGGCTGGCTGCTCTGCTTTTCTGATCTATTAGTTTTCATTTCCTAATACCTGTCTCTGAGTTTTTATTATTAAGATTAAATAGATTTGTGCTACACTTGCCCATCATGTTCATTTCTGCTTTAATGACAGTATCTAGGATATAGAATCACCCCAGATGTTCATGGGTAAATAAAAATGTGCTAGACTTCTACAAAGATATATTAGTTAGCTATAAAGAAATGAGTATATGGAATCTAGATGTAAATGTGAACAACAAGAAATATGATGAGTGCCACCACCTAGTCCCCAAAAGTCAAACCTGACATATTCTATGTGGGTCATAGTTTCAACCTTTCTGTCTTTTTTTGTGTGTTATAGTAAGATTACATGTAGAAGCAAGAGGATAGAAATGGACCATTAATAGGGAGATGCAAGAAGAGAGGATGTGTAGTAGAATATAGGTGATATGAAATTAGACAGTGGGTATTATGGGGGCAGAATGGTTCAAGTAGGTAGAGGAGTGGTGGCAAGAGTGGGGGCTGCTGAAAGGTCAAGTGAAATGTCCATGAAGAAACTACATGGAAAACTATTATTCTGCAACCCAAGTAAATAATTCAACAATAGAAGATAGTAGAACATATGTTATAAAAGAATGGGGCATTGGATAAAGTATGCTAAATTTTTAACTTGACAAGATGAAGAAAGTAGTAAGAATGGATGGGTTAAGTAAAAGGAAGGATGTATGAAGAAGCCTCAAGAAATTCCACTGTCTTACAGGTTAATAGGAAATATGATTTTAAAACTTGAAACAGAGGTAACTGGCCTGGGTAAATAATGCTGCTTCCAGACATTAGGGCTAGTAAATGAAACTCTCTATACCAGGGACTGGTCATCCACCTAGGAGTTACTGGTCAGGGAGGCCCCATTGTCACCTCAAACAGATCATTGCCAGTGCTCTTGGTTAGACACCCTAAGAACATGGTAATCTTGAAGACATCAAACACCCAGGTTGCAAGATAGAGCAATCTTGAATTTACCAGGAAACTCTCCTTGCTGGCTACCTTTCATAGGGTGCGAGCAGAGAAATTATGTCAATGGTCCCATTTACCCCTGATTCATGCAACTTACAATACCAACCCACCAGGCAAGATTGTTGCACTTGTGCAATACTGAATTGACTCCTTATGGGTATAACCAATCTCTCTTTTGATTGGTTTTGAGTTCTGCTCCATAGAGAGGAACTCATGCCATGGTCACAAACCAAGGCTTGAGAAGTATAGGTCCAAGGACAGAACCTATTGATGTTTTGTTAATGAAAATGTTGTTAATCGGCTATCTAAAGATTCACATTTATAATTATCACTTTGTTCTACTCTCAACCGTGGTGAAAGAAGTGTACTCTTGTAGTTGGTAGTGGGTAAGGCAGAGACTCACTACTGTTCAGAAAGTACTAAGAACAAGCAACTGTGTAAGACTTTGGCAATTACCATTTCATCATGGATGAGGGATGGTACCATGAGTCTACTATACCTCCATGAGGGTCTATTGGCAGCTAATGGAAGCTATGTCATTTTACTTTACTTCAGTAGTTCAAAATGAATTTCTGCATGTTCTTAGGGATTTTTGGCTAGCTTTTGCTTTTTCCAGATGGGGTTTCTCTGTATAACCCTGGCTGTCTTGGAATTTGTAGTGTGGATGAGGCTGAACTCAACTGAGATCTAATTGCCTCTGCCTCCTGAGTGCTAGAATTAAAAGTCTGTACCACCAAACCCAGAGTTCTTGCAGTTTCTCTTTGTGATAAGCCTGTGTTGTCACATGTACAGCTCATCTCTTTACAGTTCTTCACCTTCTTAATACTTTAAGTTTTGACTCTACTAGAGATTTTAAAAGTAAACAAAGATGCAACTCTATTACAGCATTTCTTGTGTTGTTTCATACTGAATTTGCTCCCCCCATACTCTCCAATGATCCCCACCCAATTTACTCAGGAGATCTTGTCTTTTTCTACTTCCCATGTAGATTAGATCCATGTATGTCTCTCTTAGGGTCCTCTTTGTTGTCTAGATTCTCTGGGGTTGTGAATAGTAGACTGTCTTTGCTTTATTTCTAACAGCCACTTATGAGTGAGTACATATTGTATTTGTCTTTCTGGGTCTGGGTAACCTCACTCAATATGATGTTTTCTAGATCCATTCATCTGGATTCAGCTTTTAGGCTGCCTTGCATTTGCATTTGAGACTGGGATTTTATGTAACAGACTTGGTTGTCCTGTAACTAGCTGTGTAGACCAGGATGGCTTCAAACTCACATGTATCTACCTGCCTCTGCCCCAGCAGTACTGGGATTAAAAGCATGTGCTACCACCACTGCCCTGCCAAGATAAATGATTTTATTACAGCGTTCCTAGGAGCTGGAGACATGGCTTAGTAGATAAGAGCACTGGTAGCTCTTCCAGAGAACCAGAGTTCATTCCCAACACACATACAATAGTTTCCAACTGTCTAGAAATCTAGTTTCAGGGAATCTTATGCCTTCTTTTGGCATTCACAGGAACCAGACAAACATGTAGTGCACAGAAAGAGTTGCAGACAAAGGACTCATACACATTAAATAAAAATTCACAAAGCTCCTACTACAGAATTTTATTTTAATATAAACTCCATGATATTTTCTAACATTTAAAGTATCTTTCAAGGCTTTGCAAGTTTCTTTATGCTTCTGTTATGTATACTGTTGGGATTTATAAGTAGAGAATACTTAAAACAATGTTATGTGACATCATTTATAATAGTATGTTTCTCACCAGTGTGAACTCTCTGATGTCTTCTAAGATTTGAAACATAGATATAGGCCATGTCACAGTCTTTGCATTTGTGAAGTTTCTCTCCAGTATGAATTTTCTGATGTGCTCTGAGGTAGGAACATCTAGTAAAAGATTTGTCACATTCCTTACAACTGTAAGGTCTCTCTCCAGTATGAATCCTCTGATGTGTTCTAAGATGCCCTACCTGTTTAAAGGACATATCACAGTCTTTGCATTTGTAAGGTCTCTCTCCAGTATGAACTCTCTGATGTGTTCTAAGATGCACTATCTGATTAAAGGATATCTCACAGACTTTGCATTTGTAAGGTTTCTCTCCAGTATGAAATTTCTGATGTTCTCTAAGAAATGAACATGTAGTAAAAGATTTCTCACATTCCTTGCAACTGTAAGGTCTCTCTCCAGTGTGGATTCTCTGATGTATTCTAAGGTTTAAACTACGGGTAAAGGATTTGTCACATTCCTTACAACTGTAAGGTTTCTCTCCAGTGTGAACACTCTGATGTCTTCTAAGCTGTGAGTGGTCCATAAAGGATTTCTCACATTCCTTACATTTGTAAGGTTTCTGTCCAGTATGAATTTTGTGATGTGCTCTGAGGTAGGAATACCGAGTAAACAATTTGTCACATTCCTTACAACTGTAAGGTCTCTCTCCAGTATGAACTCTCTGATGTGTGCTAAGATGTGAACGCTGGGTGAAGGATTTGTCACATTCTCCACATCTGTAAGGTTTCTCCCTAGTATGAATTGTCAAATGTTCTCTATGAGCAGAACCCTGAATTACAGACATGTCATATTCTCCACATTTGTAATGTTTTTCCCCAGTATGAATTTTCTGATGTGTTCTAAAGTATGAGTATGTAGTAAAAGATTTGTCACATTCCCTACATTTGTAAGGTTTCTCCCCAGTGTGAATTTTCTGATGTTCTCTAAGATATGAGCATGTAGTAAAAGATTTGTCACATTCCCTACATTTGTAAGGTTTCTCCCCAGTATGAATTCTTTGATGTCTTTTAAGATGTGAGTTCACAGTAAAGGATTTATCACATACCTCACATTTGTAAGGCCTTTCACCAGTATGGATTCTGTGATGCCTTTTAAGCTGTGATAATTCAAGAAAGGACTTACCACATTCTTTGCATTTGTAAAATGTCTCTAAAGAATGAATTTTCTGATGCCATCTAAGTGATCCATAGTGTGTAAATGCTCTGTCACACTCATTGCATTGGTAAGGCTTCTCACCAGTATGGATTTTCTGGTGTCTCCTGAAACTGGAATGGTGGGCAAAGGATTTGTTGCATTCCTTACATTTATAAGGCTTCTCTCCAGTATGTATTTCCAGATGGCTTTTAAGAGCTGCAGACTGTCGAAATGACTTTCCACATTCTTGACACTTGTAAGGTTTCTCCCCAGTATGAAGTCTTTGATGTATTCTAAGATTTGCACACTGGTTATAGGATTTGCCACAAAAGTTGCATTTGTAGGGTTTATTTCCATTATGAATTCTCTGATGTATAGTGAGACTTGAGGCAGTACTGAAACATTTCTTGCATTTCCCACACTGGTGTGGTTTCTCTCCAATGTAGACTGCTTGTTGCACAAGACTGTACGTAGAGTCAAAATAGTCATCATATTCTCCCTGCCTGTGTTTATTCTTTGCAGTATAGAGTTGCTGATCTTGAGTAATGTTGGAACACAAATTTAGAGATTTCTCACAGTCTTTAGATTTGTAAGGCTCTTCTCCAGTCTGCATGCTTTCATGTCTATCTGGGTTTGATGAGTCAACAGAGGCATCCCTGTGATTACAGCATCTGTAGTTATTAGAGTTTTCTGAAGTTTCACTTGTTCTATAAAGTGCACATGTGGAAGGGTCATAAAGCACGTTGTCAAGCTTATTACACTGAGAAGACTCTTTTTCAGTCTTCATATATTTATGGTCAGGATCACATATGTAATAGTTTTCTGAAAATGAGTAAAGTCACATTAATAGGGCTTGTGCAAAAATCAAACATTTGATAAAAGACTCTGTCTCTAAGTTCTCTTTTAAGATAAGTCAACCAAAAACTATTTAGATATTTTTTCTTTCACTGTAATTTTATGTATTCTCACAAAAACAGACTGACAGTTTTCAAGGGTCTGTGATATAATAGATATCTCATAATTATAAAAAATGTCTAATGGCACAAGACAGACCATGTAACTGAGAAATCAGTAATTAGCATTGGGATGGAGCTCAATGGCTGATTATATTTAGAACACATGTCTCTGTGTTGAAATATTACTGTTCAGAAATTGGAGAAGCAGAGTTTAATCAAATCCCAGGTTCACAGTGCTTGTACTTACTAAGTGACAGGCAATGAGGAGGATGGTTAAGAAGACACAATTCCTTTAAAGATTAAAGTCTTACTTAAAAGCATCAAAGGGTTTATTTATTTCTACAACAAGGCATTAGATTCTACAATTTTGTAATGGATGCAAAAACAGTATTCCAGCAGACATCAGAGTTTATGGATCTATGTCTATCCTCCATCATCTGAGTTCCATACACTGCTGTGTCTCTTAACTTTTCTCATAGGGTTATTCTCAGTTCTACTCTGTGCACTGACTACTAAGAATATTTCCCAGAAGGGTGCCTATGTATTCTCTACTGACAAGAAAATGAAGGATGTAATATGAAGATATGCATATAAGAAAGGCAATTAAAGAATAATTCTACTTCATGAACTCACATTAGACTTAGTTTGTATTCCAATCTGATGTCAGCACAGTCAAATAAAATTAGATTTTGTACAAGTACTGTCAGCATAATTCAGGTACATTAAGCACAACACCTTCTAACAGTTACAACAGGCAGGATGCATGGTGAGACAAGGACAGTATACTCAGATCAATGGTCAGGAATTGGAAGCAAATATAGCCAAAGCATTCTCAGCTCTTGCTTTGTCTTTCATGAGAAGTCATCACTCTTGTCCTGCTCATTCACTAGACTATCCTTGTTGTATCTCCTCTCCATATTCCAGAGCAATCTCATTTCTTTTGGACAGGTAAACCACGCCTATCTTGTATACAATAATCCTCGTGTTCTGTGAGGCAGCCTATGACTCATGCTAGAATTTTTAGAAAGAATACAAATGTTTAACACATCTACTCAGTACATGAAGGAACAGAACACAAAGTAGACAAATCTGGGAATGATTTCCAATTGTGATTTCCTGTCAGAATCTTTAACATATTTAGAGAGAATTGTCAGTTTGCTTATCTGGAATTTTTTCTCAGAACTAAAACAATATGTGATTTGACAGACATAGAGCTTTAAGATATGAGTGGAAATATTATATGAGACTAAGTTCTGAATGCATTGTGGAACCAAAATAAGGGGTGCATGATACCTCTAACATGGAGAATGGAAAGAAAAAAGTAAATTCCATGAAAAAGTTATTTTCTCCTAGCAGTCTTTCAATAGTCTCCTGTGTTTCCATGGCAGCTTAATGGAGTCTATAACCTATGAAGTCAGTACATACAAATGATGGGATAGGAATTCTAGAAGCACAATGATCTCACCCACTGAGAGCAGGTTGTTGTAATTCTCCAACATCACATCAATGTACAAAGCCCTCTGAGCAGAGTTCAGGCATTCCCACTCTTCCTGAAGGAAGTCCACAGTCACATCCCTGAAAGTCAACAGACCCTGAAACAAAAAAGTACAGTTTGATCATGTGATCCTGGCGGAGAGCTTTTCTGAACATAAGGAGACTTAAGGAGATTAGGGATGTACATAAGCAAAGACAGTTAAAGAGAAAAAAAAAGAGAAAACAAGATTTCTAATATGGTCACATTGTATAATGGGTTTTCTAACTCTGTGAAAACAGGATGACACAAAACTCTCACAAGCATATACACAAAAGAACAGACATTTAAGGTCTGGACATGATTATCTATCTGTTAAGGACGCTGTGTTTATATCAAAGGATCACAGTATACATGTCCCAGAAGGAAGATTTATATTGAGGTGCTGTGTTTTAAATACTGTATCTGAAGCCAGGCGGTTGTGGTGCACAGCTTTAATCTCATCCTTGGGAGGCAGAAGCAGACAGATCTCTGTGAGTTTGAGGCCAGCCTAATCTACAGAGTGAGTTCTAGGACACACTCCAAAGCTAAACAGAGAGACTCTGTCTTCAAAAACCAAAAACCAAACAAACAAACAAAAACCCTCTCCCCAAATCCCAAAAAACAAAACAAGAAACAAATGCTGTATCTGTAGATCATGCTAAAATACTGACACTGAATCAATTCTGTGCATTCTTGGATCTTACAGGAGTCTATTCTTACATGCTCGGTTTGTATCTTTAATGTCTAAGTCCAATGCCATTTCATTATGGAGATAGGAGTAGATTGTGGAAGCCCAAAAATGTAAGCCTATTTCCACCTTGACCAAAAGTCAGACAGTTGGAGCTTACCTCTATTCCTTCAAGGTTATTGTGTTTCTATCACAAACAAAGGTCCCACCTAGACTTAGATCAAAGAGTTTTGCTCTCTCAAGATTATTGACAAGTGTGGCTAACAGCCAGACCTTGTATTTCAGGAATAGAGAAGAGATATGCTTCTACTTCAAACAAAAGTCTAAGGGCTCAACTAAGGTTCCAATTCCCTTAAGGAGATACACTGAATTCTACCCAGGAATTGGTTTGCCTACAGAATGTTTTGGTCTAGGGTGTGAGCAGACCTGTTTTGTTCTAGCAACAGAATGTTTAACTATGAATGTAGCCCATGACCTTCAACTGGTCTATTTGTTTCCTTTTATCATGTTAATGAAGTTATTATTATTATTTTTTTGATCTTGCACCTACTTCTTGGGGAAGGGGTATTTTAAATAATTGGAAACTAAATGCAGGAGATTTCAGTATTCACTGGAACTCTCGCCCCACACTATTCTATGCTTTGTGTTTTATTATTTTTGAGTCCTCATGCTCTATACTTGTATTCCTAGTCCCTGTATTTTTGTTGTGGCTGGTCTCCGACAGTAGATATGAAGGCAGAATTTCATGATTGGCTTTATAGGCAAAGAATTTTGGTTTCTCCAAAGTGAGTGTAACAGTACTGTATCCTATCAATTTGAACACCAACATATGAGATCAAGTCTATATGATTACTTTTATAAGAATATTTGATCCACCAGCAAGCAGACAGGAAAATCTACATCAGTCACACTGGATATAATCTAAAATTTTACAAAAAAAAAAAAGACGTAAAGCAACTTAGACATATAATAATTTCAAAAGTTCTGGAGACTCTTTCACTCCCAAGAGTTATAAAAAATTGAGGTAAGTCTAAAAACACATGAAATAGTGTTCTACTTGCACTAAGCATGTACATGTAAGTGGAGTAAGTGAAGATGCATTCAGAAGTGACACAGATTCCCTGTAAGACAATGAATATACTAAATTCTGTGAAAACTATAGTCAATTTTCAGTGTTTTGAAAATAAAATACAGCACAGAAGATTGGTTCAAAAGAAATTTGAGCTATTGTGCCTAAATTTTGTAAACCTCAATGTGTTCTTAGAATTGCGGTATTGAATGGGAATGAGTCTGTACCAGCAACATTTTGATAGGGGCTCATACCTAGGATTTACTGAGAATTACATAAATTAAATACCAATGAAATAAAACTGCCAGTCAACAAATGGGCAAACAAAGTGAACAGACATTTTGTAAAGACAGAAACACAAATGGCCAATAAATATTTTAAGTCTTCAGAATCCCTAAAACATCATTATGGAAGCCCAAACTAACACTACTTTGAACTACTGCCTTACCCCAGGCTGAGAATGGCTGTCATCAACTAACCTGACACCAAATGTTCAAGAAGATGTGGAAAGAACCAACATTAACTGTTGGTAGTGAGGGGGTGTGTAAATTAATATAGCCATTATATTCAGTTATAGTTATAATATAGTTATAATCAGTCTAGCGAATACTGAAAATATTGAAGATAGAACTAGACATTGACCCAGCAATGTCGTTCCTGGGAACACAACTGAAACTCCACTCCCCAATATAGAGATATTTATACCCCATGTTCATTGCTACATTATTAACCATAGAAAATTATCAGAATGACCTAATTATCTATCAACAAAGGAATTGATGATGAAAATGGTATACATAAAATGGAATATTATAAAGCTGAAGAGAAATATGTAATACAAGTTTGCATGAAAGTGGAAGGACTGAAAACATTCAGTATCAAGTGAGGTCACACAGTAACAGAAAGAAGAAACCACATTTTCTCTCATATGTTGAATCTACCAACAACATGTGCATATAGGAAACAATGTACAAGTGGGTACAGCAGAATATGGAGAAAAGAGAACAAGAAATGTTTAAAAACCAGGGTTAAGTAGGACTGCATGCAGGTAATGAACCATTTATGAAAAAGGATATAAAGCTAAATGATTTTCTAGTTCTGATTTTGTTATATATTTTTTCTTTTTTTGTAGTAGACATGTTCAAAAATATATTTGATAGTAAAAAATATAAAATCCTTTGTGAGACTGCAGAGCTTCTATTCCTAATGACTACTCTAATTGCATAAAAGTTCATAGAGTTTTATGGTCTTTAGGTTTGGTTAATTTCAGTGTGTGATTTTGTTGTTTTATTGTTTGAACATTTTTCATATAAATTTTAAAAAATTACCAAAAGCAGAAAATTAAAGGCTTGGAATGTCTGAACATATAACATTTCTAGAAAAAGAGTGGACATGACCACTGACCTGGGAGTTTACTGGAGAATCAGCCATTCCTTTCTGTTTCTCTTCTTTGAGTTTCTCTTTCAAGAGCAATGAATAGATGGCTTGCTGCCCTTTCATATAAGGAGTCAAAAGGCAAAAGTTAATATTGAAAGCTTAAAGAACAATTTCAAGCCTCATGAAAAGACACAAGCAACAAAATACCCAAAGCCAGAAGAACATAGAATGACATTTGAAGCCTGGAGGGAAAAAAAAAATCACTGTCAACCATGTTGCCTCATCTAGAAAATTTCTATATTAAAATTTGATGGAGATGTATGTGCAGTTCAAGATATTTAGGAACTAAAACAATTCATTTCAATGAAGGAGGACAGCAGACAACACATCAAAGGCAAAATATATACAGGAAAATCAGAGGAATTATCTATGAGACCAAGAGAAATAATAAGTTTTATGTGAAGAATAGATAAATACAGGAAAACTGAGAAGTAATCACCCATGGGCAAGACAGAAAAGCACTAATTCTCAGAGAAGGAAGAGGAATAATCCAAGCAGCAACAATATCAAAAACAAAAGCTTAGGGAATAAAAACCCATCAACAAAATATCTAGCCACTCTCAGAATCAACAACAAGAATACTCAATTAGAAAAATTAAATCCTCAAGTTAAAAGAATATAGCATATGACCTAGCTGTTCCATTCCTTCACATACTCAAGGAACTCAAGGGTCGCAGCATCCTATTTTACATATACCTATTCAGCCATATTTATTACTGCTCTACTCACAATAGCTACAAAAGGTAAACAACCTAAACATCCTTCAACTGAAAAATGGATAATGAAAATGTGATTTATATATACAATGAAATATTATTCATCCATAAAGAAAATTTAATTTATTAAGTTTGTAGTTAAATGGATGGACATAGGAAAGATAATATTGAGTGAAGTAACCCAGACCCAGAGAGACAGACATGTTCTCTCTCATAGGAAGTTCCTAGCTCCAAACCTTCAGATTTGAGTCCACAACCTGGAGTGGCTGCAGGAACCAGAAAAGTAAAAAGGGAGCACTGTGGGGTGTGGGGGAGTGATAGAGAAGGAAATAATACAGAACAAGTGATCTGAAGGAAAAACTGGAAAAACTGGAAGGGATTTAATTACGGAGAAGGGACAGATATAAACACTGAAAATGGAGGGTAAGGATGTCTAAACAGTCATAAGAAATCCATCCATCTATTCCTTGAATATAATCCATCTATGGAAAAAATGCCTACAATACACATACATAAGTCTATGAATGCACATATATTTATAGTGTAAATGAAAATTTCCCATCTGGTGTGATAATTTCCCCCACAAGAGCCGCAGGTTTTCTAAGAAAACCACCCACACAAGGCAAGAGAATCCTGCTCTGAAGCTGTTGGTCACAGCTGTCCAACAGACTCCCTAAACATTATAGGCCATGGCTGTTCCCCATGATTGCCTCTCAGAGGTAGAAGGTGAGTCTCAATTATTAAAGCAGCCATGTACTTCAGACACAGAAGCCAGAGGACTTGAGATAGATCAGAACTTAAAAGTGTCTTTCTGGGGATTCATTTCATGGTACCAGAAGAAAACATGAAAGCTTCCAAGGTAGGGAGCCAAACAACAGTCCTACGCCTTCATGACTCCTTTGAACCAAAGAATGATCTGCACTGCACCATACATAACTCTAAGGGTGCAAGAGTGACACACATACCATAATGCTAATCAGCAGTTTCTAATTGGAGTTAAGACCTTCTCAACAAGAGGGAAACCATGCCTGGTACTGGAACCTTAGCCAGTTCCCTAGGGTTAGTGAAATTAGGGATCTTGGAGAAGAACCTACAATCACTACTTCATTAAATCAGCAGAATCCCTAACTGCATTCTAAATATTTTCCTTATTCCCACAAATAAATGTAGCTCATATTCATCAAGCAAAGTTCTTTTTGGAACACATGGATATTATTACAGAAAACCACAATCAGTCAAAATGCAGAGTTGCGATGCTCAGTCCCTTCTTACACATAAACAACACAACTCCTTCACCTTAGGGTCAGAGATCACAGAGAAAGTCAGATGGAAACATTTCAACAGACAGAAGAGCAGGGTATTTGCTTTGACATTGTGTCTCCTAGAAATGTCAGAGAAGCTACATGCTTCAAATCTTACAAATGGCTACCTAAACATGAGTTGAACAAAGACAACACGAAGAGCCATGCTAACATGGAACGAGAAAGCTCACTAGGCCTCAACCCTAGTCAAATATTAAGGAATTCTGAGAGCCAGAGAAATAATCCTCCCTAGAGAAGAGTACACCATATGATTATCCAATAACAAATGTTCATACCTGAAAACATACAGCCTGAGTAAGTTGAATTTTTATGTTTAGGAATTCAAACAAACATGTATGAATGGAGGAAAAGATTATTAAGAAATAATAAGGTGCATGTAAAGTCATGTTTTTGGATGACCTAGATAAAATTTTTTAATGATTTCTATTACGCCTAATTACATAATTAAACTTAGTAAGGGGCCAGAGAGATGGCTCATTGCTTCAGAGTACTTGTTGCTCTCTTAGAGACCCTTTACTGTAGAGGAATGCTAAAAAGAAATCCCATACTAACTCAGAATTAAGTATAATAATGAGTTATTTACTTAGAGGTAGACTCACTGATCACAGTCCTTTGCGTGAACGAGGAACAGGAACCGAATTCAACAGTCAGGAGAGAGGGTACCCAAGCTTTAAGGCTGCATTTATAGTATAAGAGACCATGCCCAACTGGGTTTGTATCTTAAAGCCCATTGGCTTAAGGAGTTCCCACAACAGCACAACATTTTGTCTAAATAAGAGAGTTCTAAGCCTAATATAAAACTATATACAATAAGAACAAATATCAAGTATAAAAATTAAAATTACAAACAGCATAAACAATATCAAGCAAGAAACATATGCTAAATGTTTCAATAATTATTCTAGCCTAAGGAGTCTAAGTCTTGGATTAGAAATAGTTTGGTCATGTCAAAAGTAATTACGACTATCTAGTCTTTGGTGTGAGAGGTCCTTCTGTCTATGTGTTGCTTTTATTGGTTAATGAATAAAGGAACTGCTTTGGGTCTATAGCAGAGCTATAGGGGAACAGAGCTAGGCAGGTAAAACTAAATGGAATGTTGTTAGAAGGAAGGTGGAGGAGAGAGATGCCATGGGGTTGCCGCCATAGACAGATATGCTGAAACTTTGCTGGTAGGCCACAACCTCGTGGTGATATACAGATTAATAGAAATGGGTTAAATTAAGATGTAAGTGTTATGGGTTAAATTAAGATGTAAGAGTTAGCCAATAAGAAGCTAGAGCTAATGGGCCAACCAGTGTTTTAATCAATACAATTTCTGTGTGATTATTTTGGGACTAAGCTAGCTGGGAGACCAAAACTAATGAGCAGCTACCTCCAACAATTGGCGCACCAATGTGGTGGATTAAATCCATGTAAAACCTGAGAAAGCATAAAAAGAAATCCTAGACACAATGGTTTGGTAGTGGCATTTTCTTGGATGGGCTCTGTTTGATAGAGGCAGACAGAGGCATGGCTTCTTTGGGAAATGATTTCCTAGTTCAGCCTTGAACTAGGGGCGAGGAAGCTTCGTGGTTTTGAAGTACAGCTTCTTGGGCCATGCTGCCAGCGTGAACTCTGGCTATGGAGCATTTGAATGACATTTGTGGGCCAGGGTGTTTGTGTCCACTCGGGGTTGGGAGGAAAGTGGCTGAGACCATGCCCGTGGCTCGGTACTCCCTGGTTGGGCAGGCAGTGGGATCAGGTATACTAGGCTTGCACAGGCAGGAGAGCGTGGCAGATTCCTGACGCCATACACAGAGATGTTTCCAGGCTGCACAGAGCTCTGCGTGGCAGATTTGGCTGTTACTCAGATAAAAAGGGTTTATGTGCTGCACGCTCATTCTCAGGGTTGGAGTGCTGAGTGCTGGTATTATTTTCAGAAGCGGTGACATTAACACTAAAAGGTAGAGAATGTGCTAGAATATCAAAAGCTCTGAAAACAATAAATAAAACTAGACATATTAATTTGATCACCTTATAATATACTAAAATCATAGAAATTAAAACCAATTAATTTAGTATGATGAAATGATAAGTGATATATGAATAAGAATGAATAAGAACAGCATCACTCACAATGCACAGTCAAATAAAACGTTATCTGCCTTCTAGTATCAATCTTCTGTAGAACCTGTTTTCAAAACTACAATAGGATACCATGAAATCATATCTCTACCACATTCACTTGAACCCCTTGCCACTCCTTCTCCAATATCTCCACCATACCTGCATCCTTAGCTACTGTCTCCACCCTCTCCATCTTCCAGGCCTCTTTGTTCTGCCCCAAAGGTGAGCAGGTCTGGGTGATCAGTTGACCCTGCATATGAGAAAGAGATTCCTCAGGAAACACCTGGGTTTCTAAAACAGTACTGTGCTCAGTAGATGAAGAGAAAACTAAATACAGGATTATACCAGTGGTTCCCCAATTGTTATCAATGTCAGAATGCTGAAAATATTTAGAAAGCGCTTTCAGTTAGTGTAACTTGAATGCCACTCCCAATAACAGCTCAGTCAAAACTCAGGTGCAGAAACAGAACTGAATTATTGGGACAAGAATGCTATATACTAGTGATGTTCTGAATTTATCATAGACCCAATTTGATAGAAGCCTTAGATCTCTCAAAGGGTCACACACGTGCAGGGTAATTTGTCAAGCCACCCTGAGGAGGAGCAAGGGAGTCTGCAAACAATGCAGTCTCGCCCATAGAAACCAGATCACTGCAACCCTGCAACAACCAGTCTCTGTGCTTTTCTAACAAAGTGTTGTACTCAGCAGGTAAAGGGAAAACTAAATACAGGATTATACAAGTGATTTCCAAATTGTCATGCAATGTTAGAATACTGAAAATTTTGAGAAAGCATTTTCACTTATCTTAACTTGAATGCCACTTCCAATCACAGCTCAGTCAAATCTCAGGGGAAGAAATGGAACTAAATGATTGGTATGAAAATACCATACACTACTGATATTCTGAATGTATCATAGACCGAATATGATAAAAGCCTTTCAAAGGGACACACACTTGCAGAGTAATTTACCAAAAGCCTAAGGAGGAGCAAGGGAGACTGCAAGCAAACTATTCTCATGCACAGAAACCAGACTGCTGCAAATCTGCAACATCCAGTCTCTATACAAAGCCCTCTGAGCAGAGTCCAGGCATTGTCCCTTCTTCTGGGAGAATTCCACAGTCACATCGCAGACTGTCAACAGACCACAAAATAAAATACAACAGTTTGAATGGTTGTATGGGTGCACACTTTTAATCTTAGAACTGGGAAAACAGAGGTGGTTGGAACTCTGTAAGTTCCAGTCCAGCCTGGTCTACAAGTATTTCAGTATTCTAACATCGTTAGCAAAGCAGATGAGTTATGAAGAATTTATTTCTCATGTGCAAGGCTCACTAATCCAGAAAGAACAACACAAAGAATTCAGGACTCAAATATAGTAAACACAAGAATCAAAAAGTTACAATTTGGCCATGTGTCCATGGACAGAGTGCTTTTCTTTGACCAAGGAGAGAAAAGACTACTCTAGGCATTTTTTTTCTGATATAGATGAGTTATTGTAATTATTTAAAAGATGCTGCCTATTATTATCTTACAATATCTTTTCATTTCTTTTTACTTTTTTCCCACCTGAGTCAGGGTTTCTCTGTAGATCCGGCTGTCCTTAAACTTACTCTGTAGGCCAGGCTGGCAAGGAACTCCCAGATCCACCTGCATCTGCCTCCCAAGTGCTTGGATTAAAAGTGTGTGCCACCACTATCTTGTGGCTTATAATGCCCCTTCTAAGTGAAAATACTGTGACCCAATAGCATAAAGCGTACTGTGCTTTTCCAGGCTCTAGCTTGTACATTAAGAATTCAACACAAAAAAACACTCTTTTTCCTTTTCTTTTGTTTCTCTTTTTGAGAAAAAACAAAAAAACAACGGGATCTCACTATGAAGCTCTGGCTATCCTGGAACTTATTAGGTAGTCCAGGGTGGTCTCAAATTCACTGAGATCCACCTGCCTCTGTCTCCCCAGTGGTGGGATAAAAGGTGTTTGTCAGCAAGCCTGTCAATGACACTTCAAAATGCTCTATTTACATCACATAGTACTTACACGTCATATGAAAATTTAATAACGGATAAAAGTTTACTTTTAACGTTAATGTTTACAACTATACCTATGAAGCTTGCAAAAAAAATATACTTTCGGATTCAGTTAAATTTGCAAGCGTTCATTTCATGACTAATATATAAAAGATCTCTGGGAATGCAAAAATCCTTAGGTCTATGTGCTATTCCCTTGAATGTAACACGAAAGTGGGCGTGGATGAATGTAAATTTGAAGAGCTTTGTCCTGCCCACCACAGCAAAGAGAACCGAGTTTGCAAGCATCAACACATAAATTCAAATACCTTAGTAGGTCATTTTTATGAGACTATTTTAGCAAACAGAAGATCAATGAAAAAAATATCAGGGTTGGTCGAGGTCATATTACCTGAAATTTATCGACAAGGGAAGACATCCACAGCAGAATTTCAGAGCCAGTTTCCTTATGAGTAGCGGAGAAACAGCTCTGGTCACTTCCCTCCAGGGTCGCAGCCCCGCAGCTCCTCTGACGGCCGCCGGGCTACGATTCCCCTCACTGAGCTGCTCACTGCTGACTTTTCCAGGCCGCCCAGCGGCGACTGCGGCTCCAGGGAGTTTTCGCATCCCCGTGACACCCCGCCGTGTCCTCCACTTCGAGGTCTGCACCACGCGGTTCCTCGCTGAGCAGATCTTGGTGCAACGACAGGAAGTAGACACTGGGCACTTCTGACTTTACCTCTCCAGCCCACTTCTCTAAACTCTCTCTCTCCGGGTTTCCCAGCTTCCGTTTACGTCACTACTCTAACTCCTCCCACTTCTCCAACCCTTTCCCCCTACACTGTGCCTACCCGCAACACCCTCCCAACCACTCTTCTGGTTGAGAGTCTCAATCCTACAGAGTCGTCCCTCCTACTCCGTCTCAGGCTGCCTTTCACCCAGCTCCAGCTGTCAGACCCGCTCTGCACAACCTCCTCACATGCATGCTGTCAGCCTATAGCAGAACTGGATCTAGGAGCACCCGGTATCTGATCCCACAATGAGTTCTGAACCCTTCAGATAAAAGACAGGTAGCCTGCTTCTTGCTTCTTGGGGTCATGGCTTTGCTCCTGCAGGGCTAGGGAAGCGTTCCCAGGGTCTCACGCGCATGTGTGCGCGTGGGTCCACGTGCGGACTCTGCGGGGACAGAAGCAGGAGCCATGGGCGGGACCGCCAGCACCCGCCGGGTCACCTTCGAGGCAGATGAGAATGAGAACATCACCGTGGTGAAGGGCATCGGCTTTCAGAAAATGTGATCGACCGTCCTCTCCGTCTGACTCTAAGTCTCAGCGGTATTCCAGTGTCTATGGTGCTTCAGTTCCTGAAAAAAAAAAAAAAAAAAAAAAAAAAGTAGCCGAGGAGCTGGCATTGGAGCAAGCTAAGAAGGAATCAGAAAACCAGAGACGCCTTAAGCAAGCCAGGGACCTAGAACGAGAGAGGGCCGCAGCCAAGGAGCAGCTGACCAGAGCCATCTTTCGGGAAAGGATATCCAGCGAGGAGGCTTGGCAGCTGGAAGAGAAAGATCGAGTGATACGGAAGCAGGACGCATTCTACAAAGAACAGCTGGCCAGACTGGAGGAGAGGAGCTCAGAGTTCTACAAAGTCACCACCGAGGAGTATCAGAAAGCTGCTGAAGAGGAGGAGCCAAGTTCAAGCGGTATGAATATCATCCAGTCTGCAGATCTGCAGACCAAAATCCTCCAGTGTTACCGCCAGAACACCCAGCAGCTGCTCTGGCCAGCCAGAACATGCACTGTGTCAATCATGCCAAACAGAGCTTGCTGGAGGATGGAGGACAAAGTTATCCCCAAGAACATGCAACGCTTTTTCAATGTTTATTCCAGAGGTGGAACATTTTTTCTTTTTCTAGTAAGAAAATGGCCCAATTAAAGAGAAGGTCACTAAAGACAGACAGGCATTGGAAAATAGACTCCACAGAATCATAACGTGTTTTGATCAACAGTTTAAAAAGCCAATGTCTAGATCAAGGATCAGTCATCAAAGAACACTGTTAAGTGCTAATGAAACCCACAGATGAATAAAAGAAAGGCAGTCCACTGCACCTTTTTGTACTGTTTCCAACTCCTACTTGACATAAAATGTTCTTTTCACTCCAGGCTTCACCATTTAGTGACCTCTACTCTGAGAAAGCTGGGAGGGGGGACGTTAACTATTTATTTTACATGGAGACACAGCAAGTACACACTGGGCTGCAGCAACAGTGTAGACTCACCTGGCTGTGGGGACTGTGTGTGCCCTTCACTCATTATATAAGAGCTACATCATTGTAACTTATTGTGATCTTGTGAGAAAGACAAAAAGGAGGAATAATGTTTATGATTGCAAGTGAAATAAGGCGTTTTTATCAATATAAAGCGAACCTTGGCTTATACAACTTCTGTAGTGAATACTGACAACTTCAATCACTATCAATATTAAATCTATTAAAAAAAAAGAAAAAGACAGACACCCTAACTTCGACTTGAGTACCAGCCTCCTGAGTTACATACACTGAATGATAACAGGCTAAATTCAGATGTAAGTGTCCCTTCACCAACACAAATATGACAAGCCAAAACCAAATACTGCAATTTTGCCTTGTGGAGAGATACTACAGGAACTTGGATTTTGAAAATAAATAAGTGTCCCAAGAAGTCAGTGGTCACCCACTGCTAACAGCCCAGAGATGAGCTCATCCTACGCTGAACTGCTCTCACTACCACTAGATGATGATCTTGTTATTTTACTCAGAAACAAGATAGGCTTCTGTGACCCATGTTAAAAAAAAGCTTTTTAGATAAAATATAAAATTTTATATAACTGCAGTGGTGAATGCAGAGATTCTTACTGTCCCATATACAGAAAATAAGGAAGGTATTTGGTACCAGCCCTATGAAAATCTGTGGCCCTGGGAAAACTGAGGGAGAGAGGAGGAAAGGGAATAAGAAGGGAAGGAGGGAGGGCTAAGACATGCCATTCTCTAGACTCCATACAGCTGTTATAACCAAAACCCAACAGCAACTGTACTTACCTGCATTGATCTCACACTAGACCACAATCAGTCTAGGAAAGGAAAAGGTTCACAGGGTCCAGTCTACGCCTCAAATTTTGTCTATGAATGGATTGTAGGAGAAGAATCATTGTCTTTGGTTGTAGTCCTCTGCTGAATCCAACAGATTCCAACAGATGGGTTAAAACAAACAAACAAACAAAAAAGAAAAACAACCCACAGTCTCACGGATGTCTCTGGTTAATATCAGGGGATCACAAAGGAAAATAAATGGAGATGAAACACGAGAGAGATGTTTTGAAATTGGGGATCAGGATAGCAGAAAGGAAGGAGGTGAGAGTGGGCAGTATCTGAGGTGCACACAGACACACAATATACACATACACACAGACTGTGTGCATATACATATATATGTCTGTGGATGTGAAATGGCTAATAGACTTTTTAATTTTATTTTTTTATTTATTAAAAATTTCCACCTCCTCTTCTCCTCCCATTTCCTTCCCACTCTATCCCCTCCCCTTCCCTATCCAGTCCTAAGAGAAGGCAGGGTACACTGCCCTGTGGGAAGTTCAAGGCCCTCCCCACTCCATCCAGGTCTAGGAAGGTGTGTATCCAAACAGACTAGGATCCCAAAAAGCCAGAGCATGCAGTAGAATCAAATCCCAGTGCCGTTATCATTGACTTCTCAGTCAGCCCCCATTGTCAGCCACATTCAGGGAGTCCGGTCTGATCACATGCTAGTTCAGTCCCAGTCCAGCTGGCCTTGGTGAGCTCCCATTAGATCAATCCCACCGTCTCAGTGGGTGGATGCACCCCTCAGGATCCTGACTTCCTTGCTCATGTTCTCCCTCCTTCTGCTCTTCACCTGGACCTTCGGAGCTCAGTCTAGTGCTCCAATGTGAGTCTCTGTCTCTGTCTTGATCCATCGCTGGATGAAGGTTCTATCGTGATACCAAGATATTCATCAGCGTGACTATGGGACAAGGCCAGTTCAGGCACCCTCTCCTCTGCTGCCCAAGGAACAAGCTGGGGACATCCCGTTGGACACCTGGGAACCCCTCTAGAGCCAAGTCTCTTGCCAACCCTAAAATGACTCCCTTAATTAAGATATCTTCTTCCATGCTCCCATATCCACCCTTCCTCCATCTCAACCATCCCACTCCCTCAAGCTCTCCCCAATTTTTCCCTTCTCCTTTCTCTCTCCTCTTCTCCCCTTATCCCCACCCCACTCCCACCCCCATGCTCCCAACTTTTGCCCCATGATCTTGTCTCCTTCCAAGTTCCAGGAGGATAAATATATGTTTTTCTTTGGGTTTAACTTATTATTTATCTTCTCTAGGATCACAAACTATAGGCTCAATGTCCTTTGTTTATGGCTAGAATTCACTAATAAGTGAGTACATACCATATTCATCTTTTTGAGTCTGGGTTATCTCACTCAGTAAAGTGTTTTCTATTTCCATCCATTTGCATGCAAAATTCAAGATGTCATTGCCACCGCTGAGTGGCTAATAGATTTTTTTCTTGTTTTTTATGACAAGAGTTTCTCTGTGTAACCCTGGCAGTCCTGTAACTCCCCTCTGAGAGTATATCAGGATGGCCTTGAAGTTCCCGAGAGCAGTCAGCCTCTTCCTCAGGAGTACTGGCATTAAAGGCATGTACCACCATCCCGAGCTCAGAAAATTTTAAAATGAATTTATCAGTCTGTAGTTTCATTTTTCAATGATAGATAATAAACCATCATTATCTGGTGGTTTTTTTTGTTTGTTTGTTTGTTGGTTCATTTTTCAAGACAGAGTTTCTCTGTGTAACAGCCTAGGCTTGTCTATTACTCACTCTGTAGACTAAGTTGGTCTTGAAGTCACTGAGATCCACCTAACTCTGCCTCTGAGATGCTGAGTTTAAAGGTGTGTGCTACTTTGCTCAGCTATTATTTGATATAATGTCAGGTAATACTAAAAGTCAAGAAATCTTCCTCTTTTGTGTCAATTAGTATTTGAAGTAGCAGCTTTGCTGTTGTTTTTTCTCTGAAGTTCTGATAGAATTCTGTCAGTTTGATCATGGGGTTCTTTTAAGGGTGGTACTTTATATCTGTTTCAGTCACATTCCTACTGATGTTCTGCTTCATGCTGTTTAACTTTGGTGTATTATATTCACTGAGCATGTCATATTTATCTATTTCAATTAAAATTTCCAATTTAATGTAACAGAAGTCTTTAAAGTGAGTAAACAAGGGATCCAGTTGAACACTTGTAGGCTGTGCAGTTATCTTGGGTAATTGTCAAGACATGATCAGAGGATGAGTAGGAGTGGCAAACATGTTTAATCCCAATATTCATGAGACAGAGGCAGGCAGATCTCTGTGCATTCAAGATGCATCTGATCTTCAGGGTGAGTTCCATGTCAGCAAAAGGTACACAGTAAATAACAAAAAATAATAACAAAAATTTATGTAGAGTTGAGCAATCCTTTTAACCCAGTACTGGGGAAGCATGGACAAGGGGAACTCTGAGTTCAAGGCCAGCCAGCTCTACATAGTGAGTCTAGAACAGATGGAGGTACACAAAGACATTGTCTCAAAATAATGTATATTGCTCCAAGGAATAGCTTTCATGGTACCAGAAGCACCATGCAAGCTTCCAAAAGAAGGAGAAAACCAACAGTCCTAGGCAGCTATGATGCCTATGAAGCAGATCAGCTGTCATCTTGGCACAATAGCCCTAACAATGCAGTAGTGGCAAGCATACCTTGGTGGAAGCAAGCATTTCTTTCATTGGATTGAAGACTGTCAGGTAACAGCCTCAACAAAAATACCTCTTGCCAGGGTAGGGGTATGGGAATCAAAAATAAGTAAAGAGGAGGAAGATGTGAGTAAAAATAATAAAACAAAAACATAGGATACTATTGGGAGTTCCAGTGAATACTGAAATCGCCTGTGTTTAATTTTTCATATACTTTTATACCCCAATATAAAAGGGGAGGAAGGCAACAAAAGACTTCTTTAACATGATACAAAGGACAACTTGAACAGTTAATTGCTTCAACACTTTGAGACATCAAATCCCCTGAATAAATAAATGAATGAAAGAAAACTAGTGTGACACCAAGTACTGATGTGTGACACTATTCCTGTGGAAACAAAACAACATCTAGTTAATACAGCTAAGGAACCAATGACAAACCAAAGGTGAAAACCAACAAAGTCTAACTTGATGAACCAATGAGGTTTATATATATATATTTTTTTTTGCATCATGTCTGTGTTACATGCATGTACCTGGTGCTGTCTGTGGCCAGAGGAGAGCATTGGATGCCCTGGTGTTGAGGTTACAGATTAAGTACCCATGTGGGGGTGCTAGGAATTCAAGGTGAGTCTTTGGAAAGAGCAGACAGTGCACTTAACCACGGATCCATTCCTAAACCATGTTAAAAAAAATGTTAAAAAAATGAGTTTTATTGGTATAACTTACAAGAACATGGGAGAGGAATGACTTACAGAGCAGGAAGGACTCAATGACAACTGCATCACCCTGTGAAGGTGATGTCCAAAGAAGCTGGAAACCTGCAAATCACTGCACAGCTTTCAGGCAGTTCAAGGGAAGTTGGAAGTGTCTTTGACGCTACCCACTACCTCTCCAGGCAGCTTGTCTTTTCTTGTCTGGTCCAGGCAGCTTGTGTCTGCTACATGGCTGGCACCTTCTGTGCAGTTCAGGTTGTTTAGTGTGTCAGCAGTCCTTATTGATTATATATAGATGAGGCATGAGGGCATTATTGAATCTCGCCAGTTTCTGGGACATCCTAAAGCTATTAAATTGAGTTTCATGACATTTTCTGTATAATTGAATATTTCAGTTATGTTAAAGCATCCAGTTCCTTTACCTCTGTTTTGATATTCTGTATTTTAAGGAGTTTTCTTCAAGATGGAGGGATTCAAGCTCAATGGAAACTGATACATAATATTCACTCCTGCATGTGAACTCTAAAACTTGCCATCTGACCAAGGAGTATTTGCCTGTCATGTTCATTGCTGCCTTAATGACAGTATCTAGGACATGGAATCACCCCAGATGACTATCAACTGATCATGGGTAAATGAAAATGTGATAGACATCTACAAAGGTATATTACTTAGCTATAAATAAAAATAAGAAAGCAAAATCTGGATGTAAATAATACAACAAGA